AGTAGTTATAATTTTAAGTTTTCTGAAAAGAGAACCGCACGTAAAGACAGTTATAATATTACTTAGAAATCGCTTGATAAAACTAGGTGTATGTACTATACGACCGTTTCGCATCCGTACTTAAATAGTAGTGACGCGTCCTATAAAAAAATACATAATACAAATTTAATATATTGAGTAATACCTAATTATCGACAGAAGAGACCTATATTAATAATTCTAAAAATAAATGAAATTTTAGTTTAAATAAATTTTTGTGTTATTTTTTATTTCCGCCAACTCATTGACAAGATATACGACTTTTAAGTTTGACGTTATTCCCGCGCGACATTTCCTCCCGCGTTTTTAGCTAGGACATTCATTTTCCGTTTTACATATACGTGATAGAATTTTCGGAACTTCCGCGTAAGGAAAGAGAATAAAGGCTAATCAATGAAAATAGCAGATGGTTTTAAAACAAACTTCATGTAGAGATAATCGAACGATTATTGGTAAAGACCAACAATCATAATACTAATAATAAGTATGTCCGTATACAATATAATGATTCTACTTTTGAATCCTAGCGTTAAACTTCGTAATATTCCAATGTACCTAGCGTACATATTCGTATGCTTCTTTAAATTAAGTGTGGGAACATAGGCTAGCTGTGACCGGCGTCGGTACTATGTATTTCCGGGATATCGCTCATTAAACAAAATATTCGGTCTAATACATAAACATTTACATTATATTTTTTTAATACTAAAAATACTAAAATGGATTTTTAATATCTAGATAACTTTGTAAACATCGTAGCTAAGAGAAAAAATGTCTTAAATACGCGTGAGGAAAAATCACACTCGGGGAAGTAACTAAATAGAAAGAAAAAAAAGTTGCTAGAGACTAGTAGCAGAGAGATGATTAAACAAATTATACAAATTACTATTGCAGTTTTTCAGTTTCCTGTTTTCATGGCGCCAATAAAAATTATAAAAAAAAATATCAATTTAATACAATTATTTTAGTAGGTACTTCCTTTTTGTGACAAAATCATTATTAGACGATTATTGTTTTTAAATTATAGAATCCAGGTAAGTATTATTTACAGAGCACTAACAGATCAAAATTCAAAATACGACTTTGACTGTATGTTTGCCTTCGAAAATTTTACCCGATTACTTTTAAATTTAGCGTACTAAAATATAATGTAGGCAATAAAATCTAAACAAAAATGTATAATATTTATATACCTTCCCAATGTTTACTATCAAAGGTGGGTTTTCATAAGTTTACTGATATTTTGTGTACTATTCTAAATATGAAAAGATTCAATTATTTGCTGTGAGTGAAAGAAAAGTTTTTGTTAAAACGTTTAATTCTTGGTATGGAGAAAAAAAGGTCACTAAAGTTGCCTATGTATGACCTCATTTCCACCCTGTCGGGATTTTTACCTTATCGGGATTTTGACCGGGTCGTTATTTTAATTGCCGGGATTTTGATTCTGTTGAGATTTTAAACTGTTAAGATTTTGAACTTTCGGATTTTGACCCGGACCCGTGTAAACCTCTAACCCTCTTTGAAGTTTCTGGGGCACATATAAAGGTTACTGATTTTTTAAAGAAAAAATGGCAATTTTTATTTTATAGTTTAATATTTTAAAGAGTTCATTAAAAAATCCAGAATACATGATTTATTAATATAATAATCAAACAAGAAACCTAAAAAAAAAATTACTATTTGATGAAAATATGATGTTAGTCCAAGAAAAAAACAAAATATTGCTGGACGTATAATTACGGGAGACTTTTAAACTACAAAAAGACGATCTGAAATATTTTCAGATCGTCTTTTTACGGTTTAATTAGGAACCTGATATTTGTAAAGCGGGTAAACTGATGTTTTTTTGTACATTAAACTGAAAAATATAAAAACAACAAAATACCTATTCGTATATTACAATATACGTATCTTTTTAAAAATAATATCTTTTTGCGCTGAAAATTATTAGTACCTACATATGAAAACACTGATGACTGCCTTTATTACTTTTTTTCAAATATAATCATTTTAATTTATTATAAAAATCTGTTTTTTTCTTAGTACAATACTAAGAGGATACGCACTACAGTCATGGAGACATTGAAGACTTTATATAGCAATATACAAATAGGTAGTACCTGCATCTTAACGAATGTCGAGCGGTTAAGAAAAATTAAAATTTAAAAACATATATATTTTGTATAGAGGTCAACAAGTGAACATAAGCATGTTAGTACGTATAGGACTTATTTTTTTTGAGTACCTACCTATCATTAAAAATTATAGATAAGATAGGACTGGATAGAATTGCTAAATTATAAATCGACATTTGCAGTTAAACAAATTATAAAAACATAATAATAATTTGATACGGAGTCTGGTGAAAGGGGGCGATAATACATCAAACGAACCGACCCGTGTGTGTACGCCACTGATAAGAATTTGAATTTTTAAGTTATTTATTTGTATCGTAAAAATATTATAATATAAGAAAATAATGAATGATATGTAAAATAATAGAAATAGAATAAATATATTTAAATTTATAATTAGGTATTTTATGGGTAAAGGTTATAATATAACGATATTTGTATACGTAAGACGAATAACGCAAGCGCGCAGTGGTCTATCTATCGATAAGATGATCGGCAGCAGCGTTGGTACAATGCGTAACAATCGGCTGAATGTGACCCCGAATAAGCTCGTAACGTAATATGTTCTACAATTATTATAGTGTATATGAAAACAATTCTTTTATGCGCGTCCGAGTTGTATGGATTTTATTGTGATATATTTATATATATGCATACAGAGTGTCAGAGTGACTCACTAAATGTGCTGACCCCGTTAGTACATAAGTGAATGATTTGTTAAATTTTGCTTATATTCAAATTCCGGTTTTGGAACTCTTTCAGTGTATCTAAGTCAATATTTTTAAATATACTTAGATTTTTCTCAATATTTAAAGAATATCCAGTGGTGATATCAACTTTGGTTTTCCAAAGATAACCCATACATTAAAAAAATACATACATAGATGGAATATTAGGTAAAATAAATTTTGCTGTTAACATTTTTTGATTTCCGTTAACCTGTTGACGAGATATTCCACTTTTAAGTTTAGGTAGAGGGAGAGTTAGTTTAGTGGAGTATTATTTTTATGGTGTTACGGCGCGTGGCATTTTAATTAGTAATCCACTACTCTACCCCTATTTAACCTCAACGGGTTGACGGAAATCAACAATTTTAACATCGAAATTTATCTTAACTATAATATTCCATTTATTTATAGATTTTTTAGTATATAGGTTCTCATTTGAAAAACCAATGTTAATATCGCCACAGGATACTTCTTAAATGTTGTTAAAAGATTAATTATTCGAAAATGTCGGCTTTAACTACACTCAAAAATTTCAAAAACCAGAGTTCGAATTTATGCAAAATTTAATCAAAAAAATGAAGTGAGCATGCTTAGTTAACCCGTATATATATATTGTGCTAATATGAATACGTATATTATTTATTAACTATTCACCTACCGTAAGAAATTATTATTTGTCTTGTACCCATTTATTGTAATTAATATTATCTTAGAAGAATTATACAAAAATTATCACTCACTTCGGGTATTCTTCTTAAAGTTCGCTACTCAAATATAAGGAGTAAAATATAAGGATGTGTATGGCCTCGATGAATCGTTATAATACGAACACCAGCTGGTTTATCTAAATTTTAAATTGACTTAGGTTACTCCGTTACAGAAACCACTATACCATTTTATAGGTAATACCTATTTGGCTCTACTGAGCCGTCGGATTAGATAAGTGACGATTTGTAAGCTTGTGCTCGTAGTGTAACGAATCGTTAACCGACATATCGTTATAAAACCGATGTGCGAACGTATGTGCTGCAGAGATAAGCAGGTCTATATACATTATAAGTACGAAGAGAATCGACGTACGCTTTTTCGAGTTCGTTGTAATAATATACTCTAATTGCCTTTACCAAAAATAGACGTGAACATCTTCAAATATAGCACTGAATATTGCCATATTTATATAAATAAAAATGTTTACCATTCCAAAATTAATCCTAATAAAATAATATATCATTGGTTGTTTTCTCAATTAGTATAAGTTACTTTAAATATTTGTTTTCATGACTTTATTGTATTTTTAGATTCTGAGTGAAACGAGGAATGTTTTGGTTTAACTATGATATTTATTTTTTACTTTATTTTTCTTATGTGAAAACTTTTTCTACCAGATAGTTTACTCCAATTATCAAGTATAGCGAATTTTCTGAAAGGAAATGTTCTCTGGGTGGTACTTTAAAGAGATATTTTTTTTAATTTCTCATTTATATTCGAGATAACGAGGAAAACCTGGTTCTTTAGGTTAAAAAATAATGAACGGTTGAAAATAAAGTTATCATTAGCAACGGTTTTTATTTATTTTTTATTATTTTAATAATTTTAGACAATCATTGTTATCATGGAAACGCACATTTTTGTAATCATTTTATCATAATACTATCCACTGAACTTCGGTCAGAATCGTTTTTTCGTTAGTAATGGTTTATCGTTACTTACAGGTATATACACAATTCCCGCCTATACCCTACGTTCCCAATTTCTCACCTACAAAGTGGCTGCACCCACGTGCGAATTATGTCCGTCCTTTTTTTTATCCTGTAACCGTGAAATTCAAAATTGAATATTTGTAACTATCTACACAAAAAAACATGTTTTTTGTTTGTTTTATATTGTATCAATCACATAATTGCCTTTTTATTGTTTAATAATTATTTAATTAATTAATTAATTAATAATAATTAGTTTCATAAAGTATTAACCAGTTATAAATTATACAAATTATACTGAAAATTAACTAAGAAATATCTATTTATTTCAAGTATTATTAATGCTCCGGCGTAGCTGATTTTACTATATCTTTTTTGTATCGGTGCAATAGAAGTATATAAAATCCCGACACCGGCGCAATTGACGAACACCTACGGTGGTAATGTATTGTATATTTTGGTACGTAAGGCGATGGAAAGAAACAAACACGTTTAAATGTATGGTAAAATCAAAGTGACAATTTATACAACTATCCGTGATAAGATATAAAGAATAACCAAATGTAACATTCCACTTACGGTATCTGCACCGTTGTATAGGTTTGGAAAAACTTAGGTGTGCTAGGATTAAAATCATCAAAAGTGTGCGCTTTTGCTGGGCGAGAGAAGCCCAGAGAAGTGAGGAAATTGGTGACACGATTAGCGCCTTAATGCCCTCCGTGATCTTCCACCTTGACAACACCCAATTAACCGCCATAATAACTAAAAGTGCGGCGCCTCTATTTGGGCGAAACGCGTAATTAATATTGTAAATTAAGATGTGGCAAACTTGGGTTATAACACTGTTAAAAAAGATTTTATTTCCAACGGAACTGGTAATTGTACTACGTCACGTTTATCACAAATATTTAATGTATTATAGATATATCATCATATATCATGGACACGTTCATGTTAAAGCCGTTTTGCTGACAATAAAAAAATTAAACAGTATTTTGTGTGTTTGATCGATTATTTCAATAAAAATATTGTAATTTTGCGATTTGAAGTAGAATAATCTATTTAAGTTTAAAATACTGTGTATGGGTTATTTTTAATTTAAAAATTGTATCGTTCATGGGCAGTATTGTGAACAGATTTCATATTAAAGAAATCGATTGTATACAAATAGTTTATTATTGCATATTATTATAATATTTAAATAGCTTTTCACTAAATTCTAAAAAACTTAAAATTTGTTATTAAGTTCTGTCTATATTTATTTATTTCTGTAACTAAAAAAGTAGAGATTCAAAAAAATCATTACACAATTTTAGAATATATTTTCACACGAAATTGTTCAAAGATAACATTCGGAAAATATTTAATTATAATTTTAAATAAAATATTTATCCAAAGTTATCAACATTTTAAAATGAAATATTCTTCTATAAATATTTAAAATATATACGAATGTATTTTTAAATGTTTGTAATTAAATATTTAATAATGATAGGTTTACAAATACTCAATAAATGCTTATATACAAAAGATTAATTTGTTCAAATTAATTAAGCTCTTTGTAACATTTTTAACGTCCGTTCCTTTCTTTCGGTTTTTCGTCTAACATATACCTACCCACGATTGGTCACCATCCCGTTTTTCTATTTTTCCCGGACCAGAGACGTCATTATAACCTTATTCACGCAACCACGCGTACTTACGATCGTTTTTCAGTGTTATTTTCGCCGGTATCCATACTGTTTTCGTCTGTTTAACGCCCGGCGAGTACTTATTTTATACGTACTGTGCAATTCCGGAATGTAAACGTTTACAAACAAGAAAACGGCGGACTGTAAAAATCCGAAATATGAAACTCTGTAAATATCCGGACTCTAATCAACCGAAAAAATAAATGCTCAGACCAGAATATTCCGGACTGTAAAAATCCGGAAAGCATAAATGCCTAAATCAGAAATTACCGGACTATAATAATTCGGAATACAAAAATACGCACACTATAATGTCCCGGACAATAACTTTTCGGAACCTAACAAAAAACACTGATAGATGGCGATGTACAAACAGAATAAACGAATTAAGAAAAAAATAAGGTTCATGATTTTATGGCTGTTTTCAGAGATGGACAGATATGCTCAAACCTGGTATCACGTTTATCAGTATTAATAGTGTTTCTGAAATTCCAGATTATACTTGTGCGTGACATTCCGAAAATTTTTTGTCCAGCACATTACAATGCGCGTATTTTTGTATTCCGGATTTTTATAGTCCGGGACTTTCTGGTCTGAGCGTTTGTTTTTCGGCCGATTACTGTCCGGACAATTACAGTGTTTCATATTCCGGATTTTTACGGTCTACTGTTTTTTTTTCTGTAAAATGTACATTCTATAATTTTACAATCCGTACGATTATTTTCCGGGATTTTCTAGCCTTCGATTCAGAGTGAAGTTTGGTTATACATATATGTTTTGAAAGGCCATAATATTTACGATTTTCGTAAAAATTTGATTTCAAAACTCATATAAAAAAAATGTATAAAAATACTGCTTAATAAAAATTTTCTTTTACTAGCCATTTAGTATGACTCAATTTGAATACGTAATGTAAAAAGTTTTCCTTTTTTATAAAAAAAAAAAAAAATATTTAAATCGGAAGATTTTAGGTAATCGGCATAAGAATTTTTCCTAAAAAAATATGTTTTTGAAAAAACAAACAGGGATAATGCTTATACAGAGTGATTTTTTTTTATCATGAAACAGCAAAAATATTAGAGGATTTTATGTGAATTTTCTATTTTTTCCATCATTATGGAATCGTTTAAGCTTTATTTTAAACCATTTTTAGTTTTTACCCCTACTCCTATACCTTAAATAAGTGCATGCTTTTGATTTTCAAATAGGAAGCCCCGCTTTTGACACAGATTTGAATAGGAAATATCCTCTATACCTAACCTTTTAATTAAAATATGTTATCAATAATATAATTCTTTAGATCATTATGGGTTTCGCAATAATCTAAATGATATAAAATCCAAGTAAATCAAAAGCTTTGTAGATAATATAATCGCTAATCGCAGATAAAAGTATCACATTGTATACGAGTATATAATAATGTGTCATGACCAAAGTCAATAATTGGGGTAGCAAAAACAATTATAGTTTCACAAAGATATTAGCTACCTACATTAATTCGTTGACGTAGATATATGTTTCGGTAGTATGCACCCAGCACATGTATAATGCATAATATTAAATATTTCAACTCAATTAAAAAACACACGGGAGAAACTTTGGTTATATTATATAATAGCTCATCAACATATTCATTTTACTATTCAGGCGGTCGTTTCTCAACATTTTCTTAGTATTTCACAATAATTTTACAGTTTTGTACTTTATAGTGCATAATTAAATTACGTAGGTACATAGAAACCGTTATACTCAAGATAAAAATTTAAAGTTTATCGTTCTTCGGAAATTTCGATCAACTTATAGTTAAAGAATTTTCAACACAACCGCAGCGATACTGATTAAGTCGTAGAAATTATATACAAAAATAAAACGACGTCCTAGGATAATGAGTACGGTTGCAGCCACTGTTATAGGTAATTTACCTAGGTACTTATGTCTGCTTACAGGTATAACCTGTAAGCAACGATAAACCATTGCTAATAAAAAAAACGATTCCGTGTGGAGTTCAGTTGATAGTGATGATTTTTTAACAAAATACGAGTATATGTCATATTATAGTAAAATAATTGAATAGGCTTTTTATATTTTCTTTAATAATATTTGTTTAATGTTGTACCGATATTCCCATTTTTCTTACGTTTTCCTATGTTTTTCTCGGTTTTTTTTTTTACTTGATGAGAAAATTCCTTAAAAAAAATAATCCAAAAATGACCTCCGCAAACCGATTTTGTTTTAGAAATAATGCTCTCATTATGAATCGGAACAAAATTTCTAGTAGATAAGTTGTTCACAAGAAAAAAAAGGCTATGGTATTTTTTGAAATTAATATCTATATTTCGTACATTTTTCCATTTTCCTTCCGTTTTTTCGGACCTCCTTAAAATACCTTCCCACACCGATTTCCTTTCAGAAGAGCTGATGTATTTAAAAATTGGAGCGAGATTTTCGGTAGATAAGTTGTCCATAGAAAAAAAAAAAAATTAAACAATTAACATCTTTGTAAAACAATACGCTTCTTCACTCTACTCAGAATCTAAAATATAATTTTTAATTATTTCTAGAACATAATTAAAGCAACTTATTACTATCTCATTAATTTTAACTGATAAAATAATTATAGATAGCAATCACATAAATCACTGCTTGGACACCTTGTGCTATGTATTTTACGGTACCTACTTCCTATCCTTTACCGCACTTTCGATAAACCGATTTAACTTAATTCGTTTGGATTTACCTAACTAAGTTACCGATTTAACCGATTTGACTAATTTATCAGTGACCCAAAATTTGTATCCAATTGGTATTCACGATATATTCAATATTTCACGAATTTAAACTATATTATGCATTCTTATAAAGTTATAGCTAACTTTTTATTGTATAAAAAAAAAAAAAATGTGGTTTTACTATAACCGTTATTTTATATTTTCGTGTTGCAATTTCTTATTCATAAAACAATTTCTGGATTCTTTTATTGTCCTCAAAAGTGGTTTTCGAGGAGTGAAAACACACGCTTGTGTAAAACTACACAACAGCTTTTTCCTGCTCCACTCAAAGTTTACATAAAGAATGCGCGTTCACAGTTTTCCTTTGATGTGCATATTAATAATGACTATAGTGAATATAAAATAAAATTAACCACTAGTTAGGTACCTATATTTAAATGAGAATTAATTAACACCGTTTACATTTATTTTAGAAATAATAATATTAACTTATAATAATGGTGTATGCCTACAGTCACAGTGTAAGTGTCCCGGACTGGATTTAGTGGAAAAATCTATCTACTCACATTTTGATATGGTCTAACTTCAGCAGTCCACTTTCGTAGACAAATTGAAAATTACGTAATTTTTTTGGCCATCATAATTATTAGCGTTGCAACCCGTCAATGGCAAAACCGCTTTCTTTCACTCTCCTCAGTTACGCACATGGTTTAGCTCCCCGTGCCAATTCGATCTCAGATCCACCACGTTTCAACAATTACGTATACCTAACAAATATAAAATCGTCTGAATATTAGAAATAATCATAATCAAATTTTAACGTGGACGCTAAAACGCATGCATACCTAATAACTAAACACGTTTATTTTTGATATAAAACCGTCAAATGTGTAAAATAAATAAAGTTTAATTTATTATATTTGGGTAGCTGTATTACATTATGTATTTAAAACATTTTGATGACAAAATAATTAAGCCGTATTCAAAAAGCTCTTAACAAAATACGAAACCAAGAATTATTAACATTTAAAAACACACTTCACCGTGACTAATTTTCCCAGTTTTTATAATAATTCAAAAAACATTTAATTAATCGCCGGGGAATTATTGACAAATATCATCTCGATACATTTTCGATATTTCGATATTTCCATTCAATTATACAAATTGAATGCATATTTTTGAAACTCTCCGGGCATTTTCTGAGATTAAAAATGAACATTTTATTATTATTACTGTTATACTTCGAATCTGAAATTGTATATATAATTATTATTTCATTACTAATTGCGCGATAATAACTAATAAATATTATTAATGAAAAACAATAATAACCGTTTGAAAATAGAATGATTTGTTTTTTTTCTTCTGTTCGTATATATTGCTACTTTAAATTATAAATGAAAATTATTACGGCAATTAGATAATGAGTATGTAGGTAGGTAAACTTAATAAAATAATCCATTTTCATACTTGACAAGTTTTACGAGTTTTGGAATCATACAATGGTGCTTTCTCTTTAATAATATGAAAATACTATTCAATTTAAAATGTAAAAGTTAAATGTATTGGAATATAATGAAATTATTTTCTTTGGTAAATAAAAAATATCAAAAATATACTCGTACATTAAAATATTTATAGAAATTAAAATTTTTTTTTTTTTTTTTATCGACTTGATTCTTTAACACTTTAAACAGCTAAATTTCGGCCATACCAAGCCTTTCTTGATAAATTCGTATACCCACCGTTGCCAAAAACAATGGTCTGTTTAATACCCAAGGTGTGGATAATTATAATTACCCCTTTAAAATAATACGAGTTATACATTTTTAAAATTATTAATATACTAAGCAGTTTATTTAATTGTGTAGTTAGACTTCTGTTTTAAACAGTTTAAATTGCATATTTTAGAAAACGAAAAAGGTATATAAAGAATGTTTTTATAAGAAAAAAAAAATATTTTTAACACTCGACATTCATAATTATTTTTTTTCGTCCATTTCATAATTCATTATTCTTTTTGGTCGTCTGTTCGTTAGTTACGTATATTTCAGTTGTCTAATTAATATTGTACTGTAATAAAATTCATTTTTTCATTTTTATATAAATATATAATGAGAATTATATTAAAAATTTCAATTAAAACAATATTAACGTGCATTCGAAAAGATAATGCTTTTCTCGAAATTATGGAAATATTTATGACACTATAAATACCGCGGGTAAACCGTGTTTGCGGGTTTTATAGTTTCAAATTCAGATCTGTGGAGTAGAAACGGGTCGTAAATTTTATATGTATTTTCAGATGAACTTATCAATGATCACATTTCAATAATTATATATTTATGTGTTTATCGTTTTTTCTTTTTATGATTAAAAAAGTGTTTGGTTTTTTTTGTTTTCAATATCTACTCATTAAGTTGTTGATCTTAAATAATTAACCATAACTATACTATGTTCCTATTTCGATTTTTTAAGTATGATTCGCAGTATTTTTCCCGATCCGAATTTCCCGAATACCATTTTTCCCGAATGTCATTTCTCCTGAACGGAATAATTATATTCCGAATAGTATTTTTCCCGATATCATATTTCACGAACTCTTTGTCCCGAATGGTATATTTTCTGACTGGTATACATTTCCAAAACAATATATTTCCGAATATGGTGGACAAAATTAAATAAACAGCAAATACTACGTATTTTTTTTTTCCAATTGTTAAATCAGCTCGTATCTGGGAGATATTGGTTTTACCAGGTAACAACGGTTAACTGTGGTCGATACGGGGAAACGCCGAAATACACGTTTTTATGTTCTCAAATTTCTGATTAATCAATCCGATCTGATTGATAAATTTCACACGATTCTTAAGCGACAACAACTAAAATATTGTCCGTCGAAAATTTTTTTATCTTGATTTTCATGATTTTTTGTTGTAGATATCATACCTAATTTATATAAATTACAAAATAAACAATGCATATTGTTATTATTTTTAGATGTATTGAAACGAATTTCCGGTCAGCCTTCCTTAAAATTATTAACGTCAAAAATAACGGGCACCCTATTATATATAATACTATTTTCGTTGTTTGTTTAGTATGTTTTGGTAGTTATAACTCATAGTTTTTCGTCCGTCGTTTTTTAAATAAGACATCTAACAATGATGTTTAAATGTTGAAAGAAACAGAATTACTTTATGGTGGCTTCGTGTATACAAAGTCGAAATTACCCATTAAGGGGAAAACCATACTGAGAGTTGCAAAAAAATACATAGTAAACTGTGTAAAGCGAGAACTTTTACTAACATTTCAGAACAAAAAATAAATTTCGTTCGAGAAACAACTCTTAAAGACCACAATTGTGTAACAAATCAAGAAGAGTTTGAAGCCAAACATATTAAATATAATTTTAAGCGGAAGGCTGAAGATTAATCAGAGCAACCACCTTCTCGGATATTACGTACAGAACTAGCTGAATTGTACGATGCGCTCTTCAGTCAAATGACATTTAGGTAAAATCAATACTATTCGGGAAAAACGACATTTAGGAAATTTTATTCGGGAAAAAGGTCCGGAACCATTAAGTATAATATAAAGTTATAATAAAGAATGTTATAAAATTATATTTTTTACAAAATACAGGTAGTAATACAGGCAGTATATAACGTTTCAATAAAATATAAAAAAGATTTTGTTTTCTTAAATAATAGGTGAATAATAACGTTGCACCAGAGATGATATTTCTTACAAAACCACGGATTTTCAATAATGGTGCATAGAAAGTAACCACTGGGTAACTTTCCACCAAAAATAAATAATTGTGTTTATAAGGAAATAGTTAAATTATACGCAAATTGTGGCGCATAGTAACTCCGTGTTAAGGTATTTATTTATTAAATATAAGCTTGGACCAAAGTATTGTAATTGTAGATAAATTTAAATGTAGCACGACAAGTATGTAGTAGTGAAACGGTAATAGGTTGCTAGTTTTTACAGGAAGGAATAAGGAAAGCAATGAGCATTAGCTGATGCATCATTCTATGGTTGATTGGATTATTCCGACTGTAATAAGTAGAATATTTAGCAATAGGAAAATAAAGCAATAGAGCTGATTGCACGTGGAGAAACTCGGAAGTTGATAAGGGGAAATAACGGTGAAGCATTAGCAGGATCACCAATAAGGTATTGTAGGAGCTTTATTTTATTTTCTGTTCTTCTATTAGATTGAGTTGATAGGCATAGCTCATGGAGAACTGGAGAATAGCCGTGTAATGGGTGGGAAATATTTAGTACATAACCGGCGTAGGAAAGAAGAGATCTTTGGCAGCAGAGTCGGAGGCTATGTGTGTGTGTATTTATTTACGATTGGAAAATACCCAAAAATATTAGTAGTTAATTGCTTCTTCGTAATAAAAGAATCACCCTGTATAGCCGATATTTGTTTACACCTCATTATATCGCTAAAATCATTTGACCTAATATTATACTAAACGACACAAATATTGTAAAACAAAAAAAAAAAATCCCTAACGAGTATGTACTGCAATTAGTACACTATGGTGGTATTATAAGCGCACGTGTAGCTGACACATGCCATCCAAAATTATGGAATTAGTTATAAGGTTTGGATTAGACGAAGGCCAAAGTGTGCGGCTAAAACCCGTTGTATAAAATTATATCATGGTCTACCGGTGGGTCGGTGAACAGCGTTTAAAACATTACCTTTTCGCCTTTCGGTGACGTTTAATAAAATCTGTTGAAAACTATACAATTTTAAACCGTAACTTTTTGCCTTTTTACGGCTGCCAGACAACATTTTATCAAAGTTAGATAAAAAAAAGAAGATCAAAACAAACGTTTAATATAATCTATGAACAATATTGGTTTATGGTGTTGATCAAAATGTAAATAAATTCGAACTAGTTATGAACTAATCTTGTTGAAGGAGGGGAAATTGTGATGAATGAGATTCGCACTCTGCAGCCATATATTTTAACTAATTCTCATTGAATTCACACGAAATCGCACTTATTGTCCGTGTGTACACAAAAAATATATTATACCGATGATCTATTTAATTGGGTACACTCATTATCTCGGAAGGTATTAACTTTTTTCAATTTTTTTTTTTTTTTGAAAATTTAAGAAATAAGCAGCTTTAAAATATTACTTTAGCATTATTTTTGTTACTCTTATTCTTGGAATGTGGAATGACTACCTACTTTTAATTTTCAAATGGAAACTTTTTGAACAAATCCATAAATCGATTGAGTTAAAATATAATTTGGTGTTGAAATTTTTAATTTCCATCGACATGATGATGAAATATTCCACTTTTAAGTTTGGGTAAGGGGAGAAGAGTGAAGCATTATTTGGGCGGCGGCACGGCGTGTGGTATTTAATAATGGTCCACTTCATCCTTCCCTACTCAAACTTAAAAGTGGAATATATCATCTTAGAGATGACGGAAATTAAAAATGTCCACAACAAAATGTATTTAAACTAATACTGCGTATATTTATAGAATTTTTATATAGGTTACCATGTCTTAAATTAAAAAAAAAAAAAATTAAAATGTTAAAACTTTTCGAGATAATGATTGCACCCACGTAAATGGATCACTCGGTATATATTAAGAATATACAAAATTAGTTAAACAAAAATTAAAAAGAAAAACTCAAATAGTTTTATTAGAGTTTATAATCAACCTTTACGAAAATTCTTTGAATTTTAAATTCGAACTCGTATGTAGTTAAGGCGTGTAATTTAGAGAATAATAATATGCTTTTTATCTTTTACTAGTTGTTCAAAAAAATAAAAAAAGAGATTGCTTATTAATAACTACAAAATGTGTTTAATAGGTATACGATTTTTTACGTATAAAATTTAATGTTTTATATTTTGCGATTTTTTTAAATTTTTAAATAATGTTATATTTAATTTTTTTTTTGTAGTGTCAAAGTACTCTTTGTTTCAACAAATATCAAATAATTATTTGTGATTTATAAACTTCAGTACACAGAGTTTTGGATAAAATATTATTCCAGACAATATGTCTGTTTCACTGGTGTAAGCCGTCCGGGATGCTGTATTAGTCGACACAATTAATATTATAGCAGAAACAGCACGAAGAAAAATAAATGTACTTCTAGTGGTATTATAATGAATATGAAATGAAGAAAAAAAATGAAAAGATGTTTAATTGCTCTTTTGAAAGCCGATATTCCTTTATCGTCCAAACGCAAATCGGTAAGTTGTTCCCACAAAGTGGTAGACATCCTCGATAATGTGCCTAGGAGTTTTCAACGGGAGGGGACGTAGTAAATAATATAGAGATTATAATTTACAAAAAAAAAAAATCGTAGAATCTTCTGCTATACAACTTACCCTCCGACTATAAGGATTTATAAGTATTGTATTCGATAAATTAAGCAATTTTCCCTATAACTAGGCTGAAATATATGTTTAGAGATAAAATGGCTAAACAAATACGCATTGCTGTTGTATTTTTAAGCCAACAGGTCGGATATAATCCTGAGCATCCTACAATCTATTTTATCCTATATTAAGAAGTCTGAATATTTTCGTTCTACAGATGTATCCCACGAGGATGTTATTTTCGTGGGTTCGTATTTTCAGGAAAAAGTTTCTTGAGAATGTAATGTGTGTGCCGGTATATTATATCTATGACCATATAAAAATAATAATAAGAGTGATAATAATATTTATCAACCAATGAACGACTTGAAAGGTGCATAAATCTATATAATAACGTGAAAAAAGTTTCATTTTCATAATAAAATTATCATAGTAAAGGTATACCTAAACGAAATCAACTACGAAATTGATATTTGATTCAACATTTTATATTGCCTATGTATTTATATAAACTTGTATATTCGAATAGTTTAATAAAATATATTTCACAGAATTATGCAAATTGAGTGAATTTTATCAGTGTATTTTATTTCAACCGAAATTAAAATTAATTCGACTACAGTCATTATAATACTTCATTATCGTATTAGCAGTTTTGCATATTAAAATAAAAAAAAATTTTTATTTAACAAAATATGTTTCGTATTAATTAACTATAATTTATGAATATATTTCCAGTTAAAAAGAGAAAAAAAATATTGTGTAATAATATAAAACGTTTTATATTTTCTATATTATGTAAATATAAACATTTTTTTTTTTTTTTAACTAAAAATCATAATATAAAAATTAGATTCAATTAAAAATATCAAAGGAACATGATATTTCGGCTGGATGGGGTAATTTTAGATTAAGAGCGTAGCAAGAAATGTATTGATTTTACTTTGATGTGTGCTTTTTTTTTCTGTCTGTAAACCACTTTTCTAACAGAATTCTTGCTCCAAACAAAAATTGATACGAGACCATTTTTGATATATTCTGGTCTATTGAGGAGTTCATTTTTTGATTTCTTCAAGTGGTTTTCTTACTAACTAGAAAAAAGGAAAAGATAGAAAATAAAAACCTACAAATTTACGGCGTTAACAATTTTTCTATTTTAAATTTGCTCGATTTGGTTTTATACTAGAATTATGGTACCGAAATTCACGTGTAATACCATTTCTGTAAGCAAATTTTGACTAGTGTAAAAAGTCATTACAATAATATTTGTTGTATTTTTTTTTTTTAATTAAGGAAAAACTGGAAAAAAACGTAGTGAACACAGATAAGTTTAAGACATTAACGTTTCATCGTTTTCGATTTTGTTTTTTCGTTGTTTTTCGGGTAAACATAATTGTAGGTATACGAAATTTTTACAAAATACTTTCATTAGACTTTTCTAGACGTGATAAAATGTCCAAAATAACATATTAAATGGTAAGTTATTCATAGGCATTTTCTAGTTTTATTTAATTATTATTTTGTAAATAAAATTGTTTGAAAATTTATCACGAGATTCATTACAGGTCTTAGTACACTAAGAGATAAAAAAAAAAAATAGTGTATTAAAGAACGTGTTATTGTACCTTTTTCATGAGACTATCAAGATCAAATTTTGACGAAAATTTAAACATTACGGTAATTTAAAACATGCATAACCAAACATAACTCGGAATCATTTTTCGTTAGTAATGGTTTATCGTTGCTTACAAAGACAAATTGAAGACCTAATCTTATAAATCCTACCTTTCCGAATTCCCACTTATGACAGTGATACACAAATCTGCAGTCAGTATCATTATTTATTTTATTTTAATCACCTTGGTAATTTCCCTTATATGCCATAGGTAGTATTATACTACACAGACATTTTATGATTGTATGCTTTTTTAAATCTAATTTCTCATATTCAAAAGAGGTATTTAACAGTTATATTATATATTAATAATTATACGGTTAGATATTACTCTAATTACCAATAGGTACTATATTAAATATCTATATACATAAAACACGTTTGAATCTGAATTACCTATGTTCTTCTAATATTATCTTAAAATTATCATTTATCTAGAAAAAAAATCTATTGGTTATCATTCCTAACGTTTATTATTGAATATGCGTTGATTTCACATTATTTACCGGATTAAAATATAATACCTGCGTAACGATATTTTGTATTTTCGGCGCGCTATTGAACGTTATTGTTCTGTTTTTAAGGAAGGTGCAATCCTATGGAAAACTATCTCTGAAGCATTATGGCTGGACCGCTACCATGATTTACGGCAAAAGTATACCTAAGCAGTCTAATGCAGGTTCATTAAAAAAAAAAAAAAAAAAACAAAAACTTCATCGTTTTGCTTACAAAATATTTAAATAAAACGGTCTTGGGAAATTCTCGAAATCCACTTTTAAGGTGTTTTATTTTGATAGTTAAAACAGTATTAATGTACGTGTTTCAACTTATCAATAAGAAAAAACTATGGTGTAACAATTTTAAAATAATATAATATTATCATTATAAACTTAATGGTAACATTTGGATGATTTTTAAGCTATTTATAAGCATTTCACATTTCTTGTATTTTTAATTTTTATTTATGTTTAATGATGTCGATAATATTGTTCGGCCAAACAGAAATTCTTTAAAACGTAATACGATTTTCATAAAAATTTCACATTGTACTTGGTGTTAAAAAGTTGAGTGTTTTTTAAAATTTTTTTTTATAATCGATTTAATTTCAAATTCTGATGAAAACCGTAAAAATTACTACATCTCAAAATATGTGTAACTGAATATTGCTCGGAATCATATTTTATCAGCAGTATTTTGTTTATAGGTACAAAAAAAAAATTAAATAACTATATGTATCCTACCCTCTCAACTTTCCACCTATAACAGTAGCACACCCTTCAGCATTGTCAGCTTTTTTTTTTTTTTCATTTTATTATTTATATAAAGTAATTTTAGTTTTATAATTTTACGAGCAATTTTGATTTATGAATTTAGAATTTAAATTATACTTGTGTTAAGCCAAAAATTACGTTACTCAAAAAACATACAGTATGTATGCATGTAAACAATTACGAAATTAAAACTTAATTACCTGACACTGTTAAATCAAATCTTGCATTTTTTAAGTGTGAATTTAGTAATCGCAGTTTTACATAAAATTCAAATGTAAATCTTATACCACGAAATAAGATGAAATAACAGGTTTTTCTTATTTTGAATTGTTGTTTCTCCTCAAATGTTATAATTTTGTTGAAGATTTTTTTTTTTTAAATTAATTTTTTGACGTAAAATTTGTCAACGATTTGAATGATTATTATATTTCATGTTACGATGCGAATTAAATTTGTTATGTCCCCATAAAACCGGCTCAAACATTTGGCACAAGACCCGTCTTTAGTGTGTATTGTTCTTGGTGGTCAAAAACGAAACGTTAAACGTTATTTATTACCCATTTAAGTTTTTTTATTCCAATTAAATCATACGTTTCTAATATACACGTTATTTTAATACATGTATACTATTATAGAAAGAGCCATTATTAATAATTTTTTATACATTGAGATAATAATATGTTAAATATGTTAATGTCAACCGTTCTATTTAATATGCGTCTATAAAATAAAACTATTTCTGTATAGGGTTTTTTAATAATATTTCTGAACTCACGAGCATAGTATAAAACACCTGAAAAATTATAATTATATAGCGAGTGTATAATTTCAGTAGAATAAAAATGAAATAATGTTTATACGAGATCGAATGATTTGAACATGTACACGTTTCCTTTAGAACATATAGTAAAATATACATACACACATACACGCATACACACACACGCACACGTTTTAATTTATTGTTACAAATCCAATTTGAAAACTAATAAATGTAACTTGAGAACGAACACAATAAGCGAATGTTATATGATTAAATTATTTAAAACAAAAAAAATGAACATGTTCTTATTTTCAACGCCTATTGGAACCGCATGCTTTCGGAAAAAGGTCGTTTGGCATTTATGACTTTGGCTCTAATAATAAAAATTAAATGTATTTTTTCAATGAATATAATTTGTGAATTTAATCGATTCATTTATTTTAAATTAAACATTTTACAGTAAAAATATAATTTGTGCCTAACGGCTAGTTAAATGCAACTCGAGAAAGAGAGAGAGAGAGATAATAGAGATTATTTTATTACAAAAATACACAAAATAATGGTATTATACAATATGTTACGGCTAATGTTGAAAATTGTACTCGTTTAATGTCAACTTTTCGTTCAATTGAATCAATTTTATGATGTTAGTTTTAATAATGCATTGGAATGGCTAAACAAAATTATCAGAACTCAAATGTAGGCTCAATGTTTGAGTTTGGGCGTTGGTTTTCGTTTCGATTTTTACATTTTTAATTGAGACACGAGTATGTGAAATATTGAAATTTAAAAACCATTGTATTTGCTTAAAAATTAAAATATCGAACCACATAATATATTATACAAATATCGATCAGCTAAAATTGTTGGACGAACCACTAAAACTATATTCAAGCCGATTGTTCGCTTTTTATATGGACACAGATATAATAGTTCGACGAGAAATAAACTCTTAGTATTTCAATGTTTTCTTACGTACATAATATTATTGTATTGCGTTTTTTTTTTTTTATAAATGGAAATCGTAAAATTATATTATACTAAAACTGCACGACGACTGCACGTCATTATATATTTTAATAATATACGGGATGTGTACAACAACTTTACGTATGAGTTGAAAATATGAAAATAGTGTATAAATACGAACTTTCACAAAAAAAAAAAAAAAAAAAAAAAAACTATTCGAAATTCTCCATACGTTATAATCTCATAATGTTATTACATCAATGCGAATGTAAACATATTCCGTGATGAGTTTATCTTCATGAGTCAGTCATGCATACAATACGTAAACTGTGCAGGGAAACTTTCCCTATTCGAACTCTTCGTGCATAATATGGCCATGAATAAAATTCAGGATACAAATAAAAATTGAATACCTAAAGTAGGCTATATTTTCACATTCCGTTGTGTCATATACCTAATACACATTAGGATTTAAGGGAAAAAAACTAATTAGAATCGAATAACACAATATATTTTTTACCCTTACGAATACCTCGAATAATATATTTTCGAATTCAAAAATGCATCGCTACTTTAATATAGGCATGTGAACGTCGGGACTTTTATGTTATTATCGTTTCGTAGACCTTAAACGTACGGAATTTCTAAAACGCACTGGCCGGAACAAACAGTAATATAGATTCTGATATTGCGGTACGGTACGGCATGTGTGTACTGAAATTTTTATAAAAATATTGTCTTTTAGAATTCCAGTTTAAAAACGTATGTTACCATGTTTTCAAAATGAACAAATCGATACGGTTGATGTAACACGGAACAATAAGGTTGACATTTTTAAAACATCGTAAACGACCTAAGATCGTATTTAAACGATTATTGCAGTACACGAGTGTAATATAGTGACTACAAAAAAAAAAAAAAAACAAACACCTAAATAAAATTTAAACGAAATTTTCGCACCCGATTATCGCCGCAGTTCGCTATGCGTGTATAAAAGAATCGCTGTGTATTATATATATAAAAAAAACTTTATTGTCACTGTAAATTATAATATTAAACTATTTCGTTCTGTGCTATTGATTTTGATCGGCATGTAAATTTAAAAAGACATAAACGTACAATCACATGCTGCAATAAAAACGTTAAGCGGCTGGGGTCTGCTGCAGGAGCGTATATTAAACTAATTTCCTTATATATATATGCCAAATCATAAAAACTGGTAAAACAAATTGCAAAAAAAAAAAAAAAGAAGAAAGACGGACATACTCGCACGTGATTTGGCCACTGTTATAGGTAAGAAGTTGGAAAGCTGGTAGAGGGGAAATTAAATGTATATCTGTACGCAACGATTAACCGTTGCTAACGAAGAAACGATTCTGAGCGGAGTTCGGTTGATAGTGTTGCTTTGTTAACAGTTTATATGTCATATTATGGTAAAATATATATAACATAAACATTATATATTTTATTTAATAATATTTATTTTGTTTAATATTGTACCTTTTTTCCGGTTTTTCTTAAGTTTTTTCCCGGTTTTTCCCATTTATGGGAAAATCAAAACCGACCTCCTAAAAGTACTTCCCCAGTCAGATTTTCTTTTAGAAAAAGTACCGTTATTGTAAATCGGAGCAAAATTTTTAATAGAAAAGTTTTCAATAAAAAAAACAAAAAAAAAAATAAACACCGTTGTAAAACCAATATATATTCCTCTTTCCACTCAGAATCTAAAACAAAATCAATAATTTTCAATCCGAATATTACCACGGTGACGAGATGAAATAATTTGCATTTTATAAAAAGACAAATCGATTTGTTTCGTTTCTATAGACGGTGATGTTTATAATTGGTTACTTTAGGGATAGCTAATTAGTTTTTTCTGAACCCATTTACCTATATGCATAATTACACCTATGCGACTGTTCTGTGAAAACGTTTAAAAAGAGGGAAAATGTATCCGAATTTATACATTTGAAATGTTAAAAAAAAAAAAAAGAAACCCCGCGTTATCGCTATGTGTACGACGAACGAGATAAAAGCTATTCTATATACCATAAGTTTTTACGCTATCCAATTTATTTGTCGAAAGTTTTTATCCCGACGGTAAATTTCGCGATCCAAATTATTTTTTTAGGCGTATTTAATTAACATCAATATTATCAATATACAAGTGTAACACTATCGTACTATACGTACATTATTAATATCAGTTTAAACTTTAATATTAAACCCCGCCCTGCAATTATTACAACGAAAGATAAAAAAAACTAAAAAGTATATTATACCGTTATAATATGTATCCGCGCTATATTATAATACGTCTTTTGACAAAACCAGACGTGTGTTAAAAAGTTTTCGTGTTGTTGCACATGCGTTACTAAATAAATTTAATAACGGGCGCGGTCCCTAATAAAAGCGTTGTTATATGAAGTTGAAATAAATGTTTATCGTAATACTTTTACGCATACATATTATGCTGTATTATAACAATAATAATATGATATAATGATACGTGTAGGTATATTGCATACATTACGAAGTTATTTTTTAGCCTAGTTTAAGTATTATGAAATTTAAAAATATAGTTTAGGTACCTAAACCTAATAACCAGGGTTCGGGACTTTTAGCACTTGAAATCTAAAAAGAAAAACGCTTAAAACCTTCTATAGAAGTACTTGGAAAAAATTTAAATAAATCAAAAACGGCGTAGAGATTTATAAGTTTACCCCGTCTTACGGCTCTACCTCGTTGAATACAAGTTTCTAACACCACAAAAATAATTAACCTACGTTAATTTTGTTTTTAAAACGAATTTACACGTATTACTTTATGAAACAATATTTTTTAGCGTTAACAAAATGCTATTTTATAAGTTAGACCAGTTAGAGGGCGAACTCCTCCTCTACACAATTTTTTATTATTTTTGTTTTTTATGTGTTTTTCAAAGCTTTTTTCCTCCCTACATTACGAACAATTACACGATACGTTTTGTAGTTTCTAATTAATCGTATTAGGTACCTATTTTTCCCTAAATAATTATAACTGTTTGCTTAGCAAAAACACCGTGATTCCGTTTGTCCAAACCATTATCAATAAACTTATATTATAAACTATAGTAATAATTCAAAATAAAATGATAAAATACGGCTAAATGACTATAGATTATTTCATAGTACACTTTGTATGTTGCCGGAATACTCGTCGGATATTAATGTAATGCGTTTTAAATGCAATGTGTGAGTAGCGCATGACACGGTTATGTTTGAATATGTATTTCAAACATTTTTTTTTATTATACATTAACTACCTGCATAACCGTATTAACTCCCGTGTTGTAAATAGGTACTTATAAAATGAGTCACAGGTTTACTTTAGAAAAAAAAAAAAATGTTCAATTTTTAGCGTTGTTCAATTGCACTTCGTCTTTTTAATTTTTTCCGATTGCCTTTTTTTACGGTATTTACAACCGCTGAGTTAGTTTAATTCTTGGAATACACATCGTAAAACAATGTTCATTGATATCGTTGATCAGTTGACTGACCGAGTACAAAACTAAGATTGGCGGCGCAGCATATCGATTAAACAAACTTACGAGAATTCTCTATTTATACCACAATTTCACAAAATTCTACACGTCAATTGCCACCAATACCGATAAAATCACGGCGATTTAACATGTAATAAATATTGTCCATTGTCATAATATTATGTTGTTTTGTTCAGCGTCGTGTGATTTTATATTTTAAATATAACTGCTGCATAAAACACTCAGAGGAAAATAATGTACTAAATATTTGAACGTCGAAACGTATGATATACCATTACCATCTTGGCGGGAGAAAGCCCCTTTTTCGTCTATGCTAATCCGGTCCTACGAATGCGGCACGATTCATTCTACTCGTAGGGAAGCTTACGGTACTCGCATACTTACTCCGGTATTTGTATTGGTTCGGTTTTATTATTTTTTATCGGAAAAACTATATAGGTAGCGAGAAAACAGCGCCGTGTTAAACGTTCAATTGAGATTTAAGAACCGTGCGTTTTTGGACGTCCAACGATCTATAAACATTATTAAGTTCAGGCTGTTAAAATACGTGTATCAATTACCGCGCTGTACTTTAGATTTAATCTCGGTAAAAGCCTGTCGAGCGGTTTAAACATAACACGTGTCCGCCCGACTTACCGTACTTACCTGTATGATAAACTACCGGGACTCGGGAGTTAAATCGTTATTATTGAATAATTGTTTCACCGAGTTTTTGTTTTTCCTTTGCAAATAATTCAAAGTTCCCGGGAAATAGTTCTGAAACCAATGGCATAATGCTGGATGGCGATATTGTTCTATTATAGAGCGTAACGTTTACCATCCTCTGGTAATAATAATACTATAATATTAATTTGTCGGTTAATTGAGTACGCGCTCTTTGCGAGACTATATTATAGTTTAAATCCGACAAAAGATTTTAAATTAATCTAAGAATAGTATACATTTTGTTTGTTAATTATACGATCCGAGAGATGATAAATCCATTATTTTCGCATGCGCACACATTGATTAGGAAATTATATATATTTAATATTTAAGTACGAAATCGATTAAGTTCTATCCGAGAAAATAGCCAATATAACAATTTTTAATTAGATTATGCAAATATTATACATCCAGTAGTACTCATAAATTTTCAATTTAATTAATACGTTGTGTAAGTACGATGGACGGCGATTTTAATAAAATTATATATTTTTTTCATGGGACGGAAAATACCATTCAACAATTCGTATCGTTGCGAATTCTTTTGGTCATTGACTGTGTTATTTTATGATAATTCCATCTAAAACACTAGGCGTTTATGGATTTGACATTTCACTATAATTTCGCGAAGAACTTTTAAATACATCGCACAACGTAATATTTCAGAAAAATTCGAACTACAAGGTCATCATACAGGTCATATATAGGACAATACTCGGGTTTAAATAGTTTTTCTCTCGTTCGATTTAGCACGCTGTAACCATGAGTAGGGCAAAGTAAAAATAAATGAATGGGAAATGTAAAACCTATTGAGAGGAACCTGATGAAATTACTCATATAACGGCAGATGGATTAATGATGCCGAATACCTAACTACTTGTAAACAGCAGTTGAGAATAAAGAAAAAAAAGATGAAAAACAATTGTCACCGTTATTTTGAGCGAGTCTGCAATTTTTTACTTATTTGATATTAGAGAAGAGAAAAGAAAATAATGGAAAACGACAAAAAAAAAGTTTGAAACAACAGAAAAATCCAATTTCATCATGAATTTCAAAATTGAATTGCGGATTTAACTATAAAATACTTTTTATATTAATTAATAGATACAGGCAGAAAACAGAAATTATAACAAATGTAATTATATATAAAACAATTTTATTCAAATGAAAATATAAAAAGTATTAAAATTATTTTATTTTAAAGATTTATTAACTCTCAACATCAGATCATAGTTCAGTTATACATGTTTTTAGAACCAGTAATTTTCACGATTTTCGTTAAAATTTGATTCTTAAAATAATTCTAAAACTTTTAAAAAAAAAATACTAAATTGCACTCATTATTTTCTTTTGGTTGACACCACTAAGTACGACTTATAATGAATTTCCTGTCAATCTTTCGTGCATTTTTGTTTTGTCTAACAATTTTATTCACAGAGTACATACCAAATATAAATTAGGTAAGAAAAAAATCGCAAAATTAAAATATTTATAAATAGCTCAAAAGGGGCTAAAATGTTTTGAAAATTCTATTACGTCTAGAAAAACAAAGAGCAAAAAGGAAATAAAAGTTCTCCGTTAAAGTCCTTACGAATATTTTAAACTGAATAACATAAAAAACACAAAATTTAAAATTATAAAAGAATTATTTTGCTAAATTTTCCCGTTTTTTCTATGCATTTTTCGGTTTTGCTCAATTATTGATAATATATATTAAAAAAAAAAAAAAAAACGGTTTTCTTGGTCACCGATTAGAATAAAACTTTAATAAAAAAGATCTCTTGTCGTTTTTCTATTGGAGCAATATTTAAGATAGATATAATTTATGAAGTAGAATAATAAGTACTAATGAGTGGAAAAATTGTTCACAGAAAAAAAAAAAAAACAAATAAATAGGTAAACATCATTGTAAAATCAATACATTCCTCACTCCACTCAGAATCTAAACGCACAGTAAAAATAATAAATATCGAACCGCTCCGAAAAGCAGGTATTATATAACTGTATACAAAAACGTGAAAGCATTTGTCACGGATTCCCGACGAAACTGTACACAGAAAAGAACAACTTTGATCAGGTTCGACCGGTTTTCAACATGACTGAGCGTGACAATACATTGTCAAAACTTATATTACGGTTACCGAAAACTTTTTAGTAGCTTTTTAGCTGCTGTTGGTTTACCGCCGGACATTTATCTATTATCGGTTGCGGCCGAACTTTAATAAGTATCTATATTTAAATAATTATTTAGTTTTAGTATTCATTAATTTAATCCATACTAATATTGTATTACATTTTTAAAAACCAAGTGGAAAGAAATCGATAATTTCAATGTATAATAATTAATAATTTATAGATTATTTGAACTATATTTTATTTATAGTGTTAAGCAAAAACTTAATTTGTTCATTGTATTTTTTTTTTCATTTACAATTTATAATCAATATGCTATTTCGTAAAGTTTTGTAATAATAACACTCGAAGTAAATATCTAACATTAAACTTTACTGGTTAAAGTTATAGCCTTTGTATATAGGCTTTTTTTGTTTATTTTTTTTTATAAAAACCCTCGTTTAAAAGTGAATATAAAAAGTTCATCCAGAAAAAAAAAACAATCGTTATCATTTTCGTTCTATTTACCACCTGGAAAACATTACGTTTACAAAAAAAAAAAATATATATATTCTCTTGTGTATTATATTTGTTTGCCAAATTTAGATAGGCAAAAATAGAAATATTGTTTTGCAATTTAAAAATGTGTGTATACCTGGTTTTGATAAAATATGAATCGACTTTCTAATTGAAAATTGTATTTTTATCAATTCTCAAATCTTTGTTCAGACGATTCGATATTTTTTATGTTTCATTTTTATTATCGAGTAAGATAATTGTTATGAAGTAGTAAAAATATATGAATAAGGTATAAAAAAAAAAAATAATAATAATATTCAATGTATAGAAAAAAACTCTTTTCAGATTTTCGTAAAATTGACAATTGCTGCAACGTGTACTATTATTTAAATGATTAGTTCTTCTTCATCATCTCAAGCTTGATGGTCCTTGGAAGACTTAAACTGCCTCAACTTCATTTTTCCATCTGATTCTATGCATGCTGTCCGCTATTGTAAATCTCTGTGTACATTTATTTAAATCACAAATGATCCTATCTGCACAGCGTTATCTAAGACGACCTATATGACCTTCGCTTTTTATCTTTCTTATTAGAGTTGTCTCTAAAACTCCGTTAGATCTCTCTCTCTCTCTCTATATATATATATGTATATCATTTAAAAAAATCCTTGAGAGTATATTTATTAAAATTTATAAATGAGTAGTATTTCATTCTCGTTTCAATCAAAGTATTTTCAAGATCCGGAATCATATTTATGGAATTTAGAACCAGTCACATTTTTATTTTTTTGTACTTAAGATTTATGGATATTTTCTATAACAAAAAGTAATATCACACGGTTTATTAGGTAGGGGCAATCACCTACATTTTTTGCAAAATAGTCTGCGATTTCTGAAGAAGGTTTATAGATTTTGAAATCCACTGATTATTGGACCCTCCCTCCAAAACTCGGGTTTTAAGTATTTTTGATACAAAAATCAAATTATTTTCATTTTCAACTATGGGTTATCTAGGATACACATTTAGTTTTCCGAAGCCGGACTACTCGGTTCCCACACAATTTTTTGCGTTAATTAGTGGATCCAGAAACGCTTGGTGGAACAGCTAGTTAGAATTAAATAAATACTAATAATTAATAGGCTAGTAAGTGAAATATATAATCAGTGCAACTAAACGATTTATAATTATTATAATTTATAATTGACAACGAATTGCATTATATTGTACCTACTTACTTAAGACTTACATTGATATATAATGTACATAATACAAGGTTAACTGTAAAAAGACGGATATACTTGACGTGTAGGTGCAGCCACTCTTGTAGGTGGAAAGTTAAAAAAAATGGGATACAAATGGGAATTTAATGTATATCTGTAAGCACCGATGAACCATCGCTAATGAACAAACTATTCTGAGCTTCTGAGTTCAGTTGTTGTCATATTATGGTAAAATAATTACATATTATGCATTAAACATTTTCTTTAATAATATTTATTAAATATTGTATCTATTTTCTCGCTCTCTTGTTTTTCCTTCGTTTTATCCGGTTTTTCTTATATATTGATGAAATTCCCGAAAAAATCAAAAAATTACCTACTTAAAGTACCTTTCCAGTCCGATTTCCAAAAATACTATCATTGAAAATCGGAGCGAAATCATAGGTTGGAAAAATAAAGTATTAAACGTCGTTATAAAACCAATACATTCCTTGCTCCACCCAGAATCTAAAATAACGTGTACATAATATTTTTATGTAAAAATATAAAAATAACAAATATGATTGAAAATATAATATATTTGGTAAAAATTGATTGGTTAAGAAGAAATTTAATTAAAAATAAAAAAATGAACTTGTTCATATTGTTCTTCAAATTGTTTTTCATATATAATATCAAAATACACAAATTAAAATATTATAGGGCTTATTTGAAACGATTAACCGTCTTTAAATTTATAAATTTCTTTATAATTAATGTAATTTGTTTATTTAATATGAACGAATATAAATAAATTTAGAATTATTATGCTACTAAAAGATATTTTAATTACCTGTTAAATAATTTAGTTAAATTTTAAAAATAATGACAATCGAAAAACAGATTAATAGGTAGTATAATAATTAGATGCTCAAATAAAAAAATCAATCAGTTTTTAAATTTTTTTAAAGACAACGTATGGTTCAAAACTATTGTAAAATTATTATTTGTTTTTTTTTTTTTTTTCCGCTAGTCTTGTTAAAATAAAATATATATCTAATAAAATCAATATACACACTGCTGTTTTGAAATTCGATATTTGTGTGTTAACATTTTAATAGAAAATAAATTGTACAGCTAAACAATTTCTACTAAGTTTTTAACATGAGATCAATATTATACGAATTTGTGACGTAGTGTCTTTAACGGTTTTTTAATTTAATTTAAATTAAAAAAAAAAAAAAAGATCGATTATAATAGACCGTACTAATAAATCTGTGATTTCAAAATATTGTCCAACTCATTTACAACTTCAATGTTAAAAATTATGTATTTTCGTGATTTGAGTTTTGACGTTTAAAAGCTATGCATTTTAGCCGAGAAACTAAACTAAAATAAACTTTTTTCCGTGACAAAAGAGTTAAATTACCGTGTGTTTATCGGTTTTGACATTTTACCTTGACATTTTATATTATTGTAAACATGATGTTGTTACCTTATTTGTTTGAAATTATTGCGAAGTTTTTATTAACCCGATCAAATAAAACAATAAAAAATAGTTGATATTAGTAATGGGTCAAATGGCGATTTTAGGAGGAGGGATAAGGGGTCGAAAAAAACCCTTAACATTTCTTTAACCATCTTTTATAGTTGTTATTTATAAGTGTATATTGTATATGTAAGTAAATACGTTTTTAGAATACCCACTCATCACGAATAAAAATGAAGATTTTCATCGAAATTTAATATTAAACCGCATACAAAAACACAAACTAGTGCATCACACTCTACAGGGACTTGGAACCTTAAATTAAAAATATCGGTATTTTAACAGGAATTGTTTGAAAATATTGAAACCGAAACCGATATTTGTTCGGTTTTTATTTAACTATTTTGTATATTATTTTGGTAGTGAATGAATACGTGTATTTATAACTGTACAATTGTATATTCATGAATTAGTTTTATTATTATACTTAAAGGTGCCAAGGTGTATTTTTTTTTTTTTTTTTTGGGTTTTATTCCTTGATTTTTCAAATTTAGTTGATTTTATGTATGGTAGTATAGATAAAACGATCTTACACAAGGCTTATTTTATTTTCGCTTGAATTGAATTCATTATATTTTCAATTATTTTATTCATTGAATTATTTTTATACGTTAAAATTAAATATAGTGCATTTGATTAACTTTTGAAAAGTAGTTACGCGTATATATATATATACATAAACAATATAAAACAGAGATTATGTTAATGGCATACTCAATGGCATTTTTTGATTTTTCCAGCGTTTTAAGGACATAAACATGCATAGATTTTATATATTTCATTTTATATCAACATTATTTATTAATTAAAAAATCAAAGGAGATTGGATTTTATCCAGGGAGACAAAATACAAGAATAAATTATACTGCACTATAAATTATAAATTATGCATAAATTAGTGGTTTTAAAATATTTATAATATAAAATAATTATTTCTTTTAAATTAATGTTTAATTGCATTCATTTCATGCATACAATTATACGTCACGTATTAACTACAATAAACTATTCAATTTTAAAAAATATAATATAATTTTAGCTTAATTTCAATAATATTTAAAAATAACAAAAGATAGACATGATGGGTGAGCTACTACTGTAAGTGAAAAGTTGGGAAGGTAGGAAATAGAGGGTAATTTATGTATGTAACGATTACTCTTTAAAAACGATTGTGAGTAGAATTCGGTTATAAATATTTTGAAAGGTCGTAATATTTAAGATTTTCGTTAAAATTTAATAAGGTCTTTACGAACATTTTGAACTGAATTACAACAAAAAAACAGAAAATTGAATGCGTAATACATTTTGTAAATTTTTCCGTTTTCACCACGTTTTTTCCCAATTATTATGCAAATGGCTGGGGAAATCAAAAATGACCTCCCTGAAGTATCATTCCATTCAGATTTCCTGTCAGACAAAGTTATAAGAAAAAGGTATGGTTGTTGGCTAGACGTACACGAAAATACGGTTTTTTTTTAAATGTATTATTTAAAAGAATAGGGTATGTACAAGAATGTAGTATTGCAATGTAGGAGAATAATGTTAAGGTAGATAGAAAAATGTCCAAACAAGAGCAAAAAATAATACTGATCGGTAAAGTGAAGAGAAAATAAAAGGTCCATTAAACAAAACATCCACTAAAAAATTAACCTTTTTATATTCTGAACGGATCGATAAATGATTATTTTTGCTATGATATGAGTGATTGTTTTTTCTTTCTGTTAA